GAGGCGGGAGGAAGGAGGAACAGGGGAGATATGCGGGGCCAGGCGGAAACACGCCTGAAACACACGACTGTCGGCATGCTTCGCTAGAGTTGCTGTTTTGAGATGGGCTGGTGGGGATACGCGAAGCGTGAAGAATTCATGTGCATCTTCGGGTGCTCTCGAAGCACTCTTGAGCATCCCAGGGAGTTCCCTGCGAGCCTCTCACGTGCTCGAAGACGCGCCCAAGAGGCCCCCCCCATTTAAAACCTTTTAACAAAACAGCGTGTCCAATCCAGGAGCGGTTTCTAATGAATTGCATACCCTTTGGGAGCCTTCTTCGGGGCTTCCTGGGGACCTGTCTGGGGCCTCTGGGGGGAATCTTGGACCACTTTGGGCGTCTCTTGGGCCGTCTTCGGCGCCTCTTGGGCCGTCTTGGGGCCATGTTGGGGGTCTAGGGCCGTCTTGGAGTCCGCTTTGGGCTCTCGGGGGCAGCTCTTGGGGCCCTCTTTGGGGCTGTCTTGGGAGGCACTCGGGGCTCTATTGGGCAGTCTTGAGGCTCTTCTGGGGCTGCTCAGGGCGCGAAATGGGAGAACCGGAGAATCACAAACAAAAACATTTGAAACATACATGGGCGATTCCGGAAACTCTGAACCCGAAAACGTTTTCATCTCTTGTGGGCGCATCTTTTACTTCCGCCGGCTGCCGGCTGCTTCCGCCAGCGGAGGCGGCCTCGTTTTACTTCCGAAGACCTTCCGCCCCCTTCCGCCGCGGAAGAGATGGCAACTCCTTCGATCCTCGAAGGCGAGGCCCTGTTTGGAAAGCCCCATTTGGCGACGATCAAAAATGGGTCTTCCGCGAGATGGCGCGGCGACCCTACGCCGCAGCCTACGCGGGCCGCCAGCGCTGCACGCTAAATTTGCGGCGAGGGCGCTCACGCGCGACCTCACGCGGGCAGCTCACGCGGCAAGGTCGGCGAAGACGACCCCATTTTTTTTCGCGTCGCTCATTTGGCAGAACCTGACAAATTTCTTAGGGTGGAGGGCTCAGGGCAAAATCCATATGGGCTTTTGCACCTCGAAAACCAATCCGTCTTGTGATTCACCTTTTGCAGATTCACGCCTCCAACATCCATCGAAGCGGCATTCCAGATTTCACCTTTTGCCCTCCACCCAAAGAGAAAGCCCAGAGAACTGGAGGACCGCAAAAAAAAACCTCCGAAACATGAAGCTGCGACTTTGCACTCGTCGGGCCGTCGGCGGCGGCCGCCAGCGCGCGCTTTTCCGGGGGGCGCGGCGGGGCCAGACCCGGGCACGCCGGGCCGCCACGGTCGCACCGCGTGCAGCCATCGGCGAGCCGCGCGCCAACGCCACCCTCCTCCTCCTCCTCCTCCTCCTCCTCCTCCTCCTCCTCCTCCTCCCTCAGCGTCGGGCTTCTTGTGCACGTAGTGGGCGCCCAGGGAGGTCTGGACCCAGACATGCTCGCATCCAGACATGCTTGGGGTCCTCTTGGTTGGGCCGTCTTGGGGCTCCCCTGGCCCGCTCTGGGGCCGTCTTGGGCTGCACTTTGGGCTCGCCTGCGGCCCTCCTGGGCATACCGTGCGGCCTTGTGAGCAGCTCTGCGCCGTGTCGGACCGCATGCGAGCCTCTTGGCGGTCGTCCTGGGCCGCCGAGGGCCGCCCCGGGAGCTCCGGCGACTGTCGGGGGCACCGCCCTGGGCCGCCGGGAGCCGCCCTGGGCGGAGTTCTGCCGGTACGATCTAGCACGCCCTGATACCGGCAGTGTAGGAAAGACTAGTGTGTACCCGTGGGCTACCGCCACGGAGCCTGCCCGATCTGACATGTTGAAACAGGCGAGAATGTTAACTCTTTCTTGTCTTGCAAACGACAAAACCATCCTGGGGACTTCCTAGAAAGCCTATTAGAACCCTCTGGGGCCGACCTTGGGACACCTGTAGCCGTCTTGAGACCGTGTTGGACCGTCTCGGGGCCCTGTTGGGCCGTCTGGACGCCCTCGCGGGCCATCTGGGAGCTATCTTGGGCACTTTGGGCAGCTTCCTCGGCGACCCTGGAAGCCGACGGAACCCGCTCGGGGTAATGGAGCCCATTTGGCTATCCTGGAGCCGTCTTGGGCCGTGCTGGGGTCCTCTTGGGGGCCTCGTGTGGTCCTCTTGGGCTACTTGAGCCTATCTTGGAGGTCTCTGTGACTGTCTTGGGCCGCCTGAGATGCCAGAGAAAGACGAGCAAGATACACTCCTGCAAGAACCAATGCGAATTCAATGACTTTGCCCGCTTCCAGGCATTCCTAAAAAGCATCCTGGAGCCCTCTGGGACCGACTTCGGTGCCTCCAGGGCCGTCTTGAGGCCACATCTCGGGGCCTCGCTGGGCCGTCTGGACGCCATCTTGACAGATTGGGCTGTTTTGGAATCATTTTTGGAAGCATCTTGACGATTTTTGGAAGCATGTTTGGAAGCATCATGGAGACCACCTTGGGTTGTTTGGGGAGCATCTTGGGCGACCCCAGAGCGGCTCGAAGCATCCCGGGATCCAACGCCGGATACAACGCGGAGCTCCGAAGACCCGCCCGGGAGGGCTCGGGGGGGGGGCGGCCCCGCTGCAACTATCTATAGACGGCCTCCCGGCACGCGCAGATACTGGCATTGTCGAAAGTATCACATCGGGCGCTACATTTGCCTGCCGCATCTCGCCCAGCAGCGCAATAGCCCGCTGCCACTGCTGGCTCTTCTCGCACGCACTGATCCCAGCGCTGTAGCTGACTAGGACTAGGGCTGACCCGTGGACTACGACCACGGAGTCTGCACGAACTGGCATATGGTAGTGGACATGCTGCCGAAAGGCTGCATGATTACGTGGGGCTCGAACTTCGCACTCCGCCCATGCTATTGCGCGCTGCTGCTTGCTGCCGCTGTTGCGTGCTGTTAATACCCACCGCTGCTACGTGAGATTGCTGCTTGTAGCTGCAGGGTGCTGCTGATGGCCAATGGAGGCTCGCTATTGACGTCGTGGGCCTTCGTGGGAGCCTTGGGGGGCCATCCTGGGGCCGTCTTGTGAGCTTGGTGGACCACCCTGGGGGCTTTCTGGGATCGTCTAGGGGACATGCCATCTTGGAGGCGCGTCAGGGCACTCCGAGGCCATGTCACGCACTGCCGGATTAGGGTGGAGGCGAGCTTGGAAGCGCCGAGGACGGCGTCGCCCCCACAAGCGGAGCTGCCGAGGCAACGCCGCCCAGGGACAGGCCTAAGGAAACAGGATGCCCTCTCGCACACCCGTCCTCTAGAACCACGGAGTCTGATGAGTGCCAGCTAGTCCCTTTTCGGGCACTCTTCCGGGCTTCCTCGAGGCCTCCCCGAGCTTCTTGTGGCCATCTTGGGCGAAGTTGGGCCGCCCTTGGGCCCTTTTATGGGGGCCATGCTGGGCGTTGGGGACGTCTTGGAGAGCGCTGTGGGCTTTCTCGAAGATATCATGGGGCCCTCTTGGGGTTGCCTCGGGGGGCACTTGGGGCTCTCTGTAGCCGTGCTGATCATCTTTGAGCTGTCTTGAAGGAAACCTTCGGGGCCGTCTGGGGGCCCTTTTCGGCGCTTCTTGGGCCGTCGGGAGGCGTCCTGAAAAGGCGCTGGAGCCGCCTGGGCCCGCTCTGGACCCGAAATTACACGGCCGTTGGCAGGAGCCTCTTGGGCCGTCGTGGGACCCCTCCTCGCCAATACATAAGCCCTTTAGGGCCGCCATGGGAGGTCCTTGCGAGTCCGCTGGAGCCGTCTCGGCGACCTCCCGAGCGTCGCAGAGCTATCGAAGACGCCTACGGCGAATCACCGCCGCCTCCTGCCTTTTTGAAAGCGCCTATGTGGCCGAACGTTGAGGCCAGACCTCCCAAGCTATCGGACCATGTGTTCCCCTAATCGGTTTGGAAAGCCTTCGGGGAACACGTGGGCATCTTGAAGGTCATCTTGCCCGTCTGGAGGCCATTTTGTCCCTTCGGGGCCTTCTTGGAGGACGTCTTGGAGGGCTCTTGGGCAATCAATGGTTTGGGTCTCCCGAGGCCTTCTTGGGGAGGCATCTTGGAGCCCTCTTGGATTGTCCTGGAAGCCCTGTTGGGCCGTCTGCCTTATTTGCGACCTCTTGGGACGTCTAGAGGCGTCTCGCATCATCTTCGGCCGTCTTCTCGGAGCCTGCTGGGGGGCCCGCGGGACCCGCCTTTGAGGCCGCTTGGGCCGTCTTGGGGCCATCTTAGGCCGCCTGGGGCCCTCTTGGGGGCATGTTGGGCAGTCTTGGGGCGATCTTGGGGGCCTCTGGGCCGTGCTGGAACATCAGAAGCCTTGAAAAACGAGAGCGTCAAAGCTAATGAAATACCGAATGCAGATCCATGGTTTGGGCCTCTCGGGGACCTCTTGGGTCTCTTGGAGTTTTCTTGGGCCGTCTTGGGACCCTGTTGGGCCGTCTGATGGCCTTATTGGCGACCTCTTGGGCCGTCTGGAGGCATCTCTTGCCACCTTGGACCGTCTCGGAGCCCGCTGGAGCCCGCCGGGGACGATTTTTGCAACTTGAGCCGCGTCCCGATGCCCAACCTTCTGGCACGCGCCGGCACTGACCGCACAGGAGACAAAGAGAAGATGACGTTTGGCTCTATATTCGCCCCCAACATCTCTCTAAGTAGCGACAAGGCCAGCTGCCACTGCTCGCCTTGCTCACACGCGCTGACTCCAGCGCTATAGCTGGTGAGGCTGGGCCCCAACGTCGCTCTCCGCATGTCGCTGAGCAGCGACAGGGCCCGCTGCCACTGGCCGCCTTTCCCACAAGCGCTTATCCCAGCGCTGTAGGTAATAACATCGGGCTCCAGCTTTGCCTCCCACATCTCGCTCAGCAGTGCTATAGCCCGCTGCCACTGCTCGCTTTTTCCACAAGCGCTGATCCCAGCGCTGTAGCTGATTGCGTTGGGCTCGAGCTCTGCCTCCCACATCTCGCCCAGCAGCGCCAGAGCCCGCTGCCACTGCTCGCCCTTCTCGCAAGCGCTGATCCCAACGCTGTAGCTAATGACGTCAGGCTCTACACTTGCCTCCCACATCTCGCTCAGCAGCGCAAGGGCCCGCTGCCACTCCATGCCCTTCTCGAACGCGCTGATCCCTGCGTTGTAGCTGATGGCGGCTGACCCGGAGACCACGTCTACGCCTGATCATAATTATCCCGGCGGCCACGAACGTGCACTCGCAAGGGAGAGGATCGCGAGGAGATGGGGTCGAAGAGCACCGGGCGGGGAGCGAAACATGTGTAGCGAGGAGTCACGAGCGAGGAAGGAAGAGGGAGGCTTGAGGAACGGGCAGCACACGAATCTTCCAATGGCCTTGACGCGCGCGTGTGGCCGAACAAGTGGTTCCTCCTGTGTCGCCCATAGGGCGCTTTTGAAGCCAACTGTGGTGGTGCCTTCTTTAGGGCTTCTTGGGCTTCCTTGCGGTCGGCCTCGGGAGCAGCCACCACACAAAGGTCCCAGAGCAGCGTGTTCCTCGTGGGTCGCCCGTACGCCCAACAGGAAGCCAGCTTGAGACCTTTTTGCTGCGGTGGGCCGTCTTTGGGCCGACATGGAGCCATCATGGAGGCTGACCACAGGCCCATATTGGGCTATACCGGCGGGAGGGGGGTCTTGGACCATCTGGAGAGCTTATGAAGGCCTCTCGGGCCCTCTTGGAAGCATATCGAGCTCATATTGGGCTTCTGGGGCCGTCTCGGGGGTCCGCTTGGCGGTCGTTGGCACTTCCTGCCGGCTCCCTTGAGCCGCATGGGGCCCGCAGGAGACTCCACTGGGCCCCCTTAGGGTGTCCTGGGGGTGCCTCGGGATGCGTGTGTCGCAGTCGGGCCGATTTCGACTTACGTAGGCGGGCGCCCCTCTGGCAGGTAGTGCGTCTGCCATTGCAGTAGAGATTACAACGTCGAGCTCCACTTTCGTTTTCCACATCTCGCTCAGCAGCGCCAGAGCCCGCTGCCACTGCTCGCCCCTCTGGCACGCGCTGATCGTAGCGTTGTAGCTGATGACGCTGAGCTCCACGTTCGTGTTCCACACCTCCCTCAGCAGCGCCAGAGCCCGCTGCCACTGCTCGCCCTTCTCGCACGCGCTGATCGCAGCGTTGTGGATGACTAGTGTGAACCAATGGAAATTCCACGGCTGGCAGGTCAAGGTGTCGGTCCCGAACGCGAACGCGTCACCGACGCCGACATGCCTGCACACGCCCCCCCCCCCCGCCACCCCGAACCGGATGTGCGGGGGCCTCAGACTGGCTGGAGCTTGAAAGGAAGGCGGTTCGGGGAGGAGTGGGGAGGACGGAGGCAGGAGCGCGGAGACCTCGGACGCAGCACAGGGCCCCCACAGCGGCCAGAGCTTCGAGGTGGGAGGAGGAGGAGGAGGAGGAGGAGGAGGAGGAGGAGGAGGAGGAGGAGGAGGAGGAGGAGGAGCAGCAGGAGCAGGAGAAGGAGGGAGAGAAGAGAGGAGAACAGGGACAGGAGCTTTGTCGGGCCGTGTTTCGGGTCAGGGGCTTTGGTCAAGGCTACTGGGAAGCCACGAACGGCGAAAGGTAGAGGGGGGCGGGAAGCTCTCTGGGAGCTCCGTCTGAACTGGCGGAGTCTCTTGGGAGGCTCTGGGGATGTCTTTGGGGTCTGGGGCTTTCTTTGGGGCTTCTGGGGTTCCAAGAACGCAGGAAGGGTGCCGTGGCCAGGGGCGCTCTCCTTGGGCCTCCTTGGCAAGTACCGGAGTCGCTTAGGAGACACTGGGTCTTCTCGGAGTGGTCTTTGGAAGGTTCTTGGCTCGTTGGGAGCTGCGGGAAGCCCGTCGTTTGGACTTCTCCAGATCCTCTTCGAGGCTTCCTGGGGGTCTCTCCGGAACCTCTGGGAACCCTCTTCGGCCATGTTGCTGCCCTCTTGGGCCGTCTTAGGGGCCTCTTGGGTGCTGCGGGAAGCCTGTCGTCTGGACTCTCTTCGGACCCTCTTCGAGGCCTCCTGAAGGTCTCTCCGCAGCCTCTGGGGGGCCCTCCTGGCCCATTTGGGGGCTTTCTCGGGCCGTCTCGGGGACCTCTTAGTCCGGGGACCATGTTGTAGGTCTCGGGCCGTCTTGGAGCTCGCCCTGGCGCCACTAGGGCAGCACCTAGGGCACTCTTGGACTTCTCTTGGGCAGTCTTCGGGCCCTCGGGGCCGTCTTGGGGCACTTGGCGGGCCCTCCTGGACCGTCTTGGGGCGATCTGGGATGGCCCTGGAGCCGTCTGGAGCCGTTCGTGGCGATTTGGGCCTCGGGGGGCAGTCGTCGGGGTGTGGCTGGGCCCTTTTCGGGGGCGCCTGGCCCGTCGTCGGGCCGTCCTGGGCTGTCAGGGAGCGCCGTTCGGGCTCTCTTGGGACGTCCTCGCGCCCTCCAGAGCGTCTCGGGACAATATTCGGGCTGCCTCAAGCCGTGTTGAAGCCACGAGGGGGCTCCTAGGAGCCCTCTCGTGACTCGCGGCGGAGCGCTCCAGGCGGTCGGGAGCAGCTGGCGCACTACCTGCTGGCGCGTCTCGCACCCGCAACGACCAGAATTGCAGTACAGATGACTGGGGCTGGCCCGTGGCCTGCCGGCCACGAAATCTGTCCGAGGTGGCACCAGGAATCGAGCATCCAGGATCCACGGAGCGTCTAACTAACCTGCCCGCGCTCGGACGTCCATTCCCCATGCACTGCTCGGTTTCGTGCGTGTTTATTTGCTCGGTGATTCAGGATGCTCATCGGTGGTCCTCGCCGAAAAACAAAAAAAAACACATCCGAGCGATGCCAAGCTAAAACGATTATGTCAGGCCTGCGCAAAGCATCTCGCCTCAGCTCCACCCTGCCCTCGTCGAGACAAGCTTGGATCCCCTCGGGGCCGCCTCCAGGCTGCGTGGAGGATGCTGAAGGTCTCTTTTGGCCGTCTTCTTGGGGCTCCCTCGGGGCCGCCTTGGGCACTGCTCGGTGGGGCTCTGCTGGGGCGCCCCTGGGGCCGCATTGGGAGCCGTATTTTGGGCCTTCCCGCGGCGCTCGTAAGGCCTCTGGGGGGGCCTCGTGGGCCGTCTTGGGTGCCTCTGGGGTGCCTCTTGGGCTGTCCTGGGGCCGCCTTGGGCCACCTTGGGGCTCCCACGGGCGACCTCTGAGGCTGCCTTGGGGGAATTCTAGGGGGCCTCCAGGGCCCGCTGGCACGATGCGAAAACAAAAAAATGACTAGACCAAAAACGCACGCTTCCCGAAAATATTTGGCGATTTGGGCCTTTCTGGGGCAGTCTTGGGGCCCTGTTTGCACCTCTCTTGACGCGCCTTGGGGGCCCCTTGGGCCGCCGTCGAGCAAATAAAAGCCGTCTTGGGGCCGTCTGGGGCGCCTCTTCGGCCGTCTTTGGGCTCTGTTGGGCCGTGTACGAGGGCGTGACCGTCCTCGGGCCATCTTGGGGGCTGAATCGGCGCTGACCACTATTATTATCTTTATCGCTTATCGGTGCTCGAAAGGACCCAGGGCCACGCCGGGCTCTCGGTGGGCTGTCAGGGGGCTCTCTTGGGGCTGTCTAACACAATAGGCTGTTGTTGGGGGGTTCCTGGGCCGTCACAGGCGGTCCTGTTGGGCCGCCCTGGGGGCGTCCCGAGAGGCTCCAGTGCCATCGTGGGGCCCTCTTGGGCTGTCTCGGGGCTCCCCGCGGCCTCTGGGGTGGGGGGGCGGGGGGCTTGGGCCGGTCCGGGGGTGCCTTGGGGCCATCTTGGGGCGGCGGTTTTGGGCCGTCCTGGGGCCGCCTCACGACGGGCCGCTTTGAGGCGCTGACAGGCGCTGCGAGCCCTCTCCAGGACTTCCGAGGCCCGTCCTGTGGCGATCTCAGTGGCCTCGTGGGCCGTCTTCGGAGTTCTGAGGCTCGAGGGAGCGAGCGTCCGAGAACGCTGCTCTCGGGGGTGCTCTTGGAGCCTTCTTGGGGCGTCTTTCGGGGCTCCTCCTGGGCCGTCCAGAGGACGTCTCGGGCCCGTCCTGGGGCTCTCTTGGGCCGTCTTGGAGCTCCCTTTGGCCGTCTCCGAGCCTTCTTCGATCGCAGGGCCTCTCGTGGGAACCTCTTGGGACCCTGTTGTCGGCAGCGGGCCCAGGGGGGAAATGAGAAGGAGCAGGCCTTCTCAGAAGGCCGCGGGACTTCTTAGAAGTCCGGGGGACTTCTGAGAGGTCTCCTTAGCCTATTTCGAATACAGACTGAACTTCTCAGAAGCCCTCTCAGAAGTCCGGAAACTTCTCAGAAGCCTCGGAAGTCCCACCCCTTCTCATTTCCCCCCCGCGCCCGCCGCCGATGTTGGGCCGTGAGCGTCCCGGGTTCGTGCTGGGGCCGTCTGGCCGGGCCGAATTCAAGTTACGAGCGCCCTTCTGGCACGCACTGCCCCCCGCACTCAACTAGGGCTGACCCCCAGTGGACTACAGTCCACGAAGTCTACTCGACCTGCCATGTGAACTTATGGTGCAAATGCTGCCGAAAGTCATTCATGGTGGGGTCCGAGGCCCGAGCAGCGAGAAACGAACAAGAAGGGAGCGAGAAGGAGCGGGGGAGAAGGAAGGAGCTGTCGCAAGGCTCGCTGCGGCGCTCTTGGAGCCGTCGTAGGACCGCGTGGACTGGCACGAGGGAGATGCGAGGAAGGAGGAGGGAGGGGCTTGCAGCCATAGGGAGGAGGAGCGAGAAGCCAGCAGAGAGGAGCGAGCAGCGAGGAGTCAGAGGAGCAAGGAGCGAGAGGAGGGAGGGGGGTGGGCGAGGAGCGAAGACCTCCACCGTGCGCCGGGGAGCATGGGGGAGGCACCAGGGGAGCTCCGTGGATCCACGGAGCTCCCCCAGTGCCTCCGTGGATAGTCGACGGCCCCCCGTGCCCCCGGTGCCTCCGTGGATCCACGGAGCTCCCCCGGTGCCTCCGTGGATCCACGGAGCTCCCCCGTTGGCGGTCGACTGCCCACGGAAGCGGAACCGCATTCACGGGTGAGTATCGCTTCCCTGTTAGTCTGCTCGACAGCTGCCCTGCTCGCGTAGTTGCTAGCCTCGTGGCCTGATACCTTGTGGCTGGATCGCCTGCTTTCTGCTCTGCGTGCCTCACTGCTTGCACGTCCGCTCGAGGCCGCTTGCTGATGCTAAGTGCTGTCTGTCGGTTCTCTGCTCTTTCTCGCCGGCACGGGCTTGTGCTGGCCGCTGCGTGCTGCTGGTGCTCGCTGGTGCTGCCTGACGCTGCAGGGTGCTGCTTCTCGCTGCTTCTCTTGGCTGACGCAGCCTGCCGCCCGTGAGAGGCTCGAGGAGTGAGGGGCAAGGAGCGAAGAGGCAGGGTCGAGGCTGGAGAAGCCAGGAGCGATCAGAGAAGAGCAGGGATCGAGAACGGGAGGAACGGAGGCCGAGGAGAGATGGGCGGGGAGGGAGGAGGGAAAGCCGAGGAGGGAGTCGGGAGGTGTGAGAACCCAAGAGGGAGGGTCAAGGGGTGAGACAGGAAGGTGCGAGGGGCGAGGATGAGCGAGAAGAGATGGGGCAAGCAGAGAGCAGCAAGGAGTGAGGGGCGAGGCGCAGTGGGCGAAGAGCGAGGAGCGTCGAGCGAGGAGCGAGGGGCGGGGGTGCTCGAGAAGCGGCCAGCACACGCTCACGTGGCCCTCCTGGGGCCGGCGAGGCCCCTCACTGGGGCCTCTGTGGGGTTTCGTGGGCTCCCTTGGGGCCTCCCGCGCCTGCTGGGGCCGTATGGGCGCCACCTGGGGCCACTGGGTGCTGTTGCGCGAGGAGAGGAGGAGGAGCAGGCGGAGGAGGAGGAGGAGGTGGAGGAGGAGGTGGAGGAGGAGGAGGAGGAGGAGGAGGAGGAGGAGGAGGAGGAGGAGGAGGAGGAGGAGGAGGAGGAGGAGGAGGAGGAGTCGGAGGAGGAGGAGGAGGAGGAGGAGGAGGAGGAGGAGGAGGAGGAGGGGAGTGTCTGGTGACGCTCGTGGGCTCCTTGGGGCCATGTGGGGGCGGTCCTGGGCCGTCTTGGGGCCATCTTCGAGGCTGGCTGGGTCCACCTTGGGCTATCCTCGGGCGCGTCACTGGCCCCCTTCGTGGCCACGTCGACGTTGTGTTGGGGCATTCGAGAGGGGCTCTGTGAGGCCGCTCAAGGGAGGCCTCGACATGGCCGTCTGAGGCTGTCTCCGAGGCGCCTTGAAGCCAGTCGGAGGCTCCCAGGACTGCTCGGAGAGACGCCGAACGTTTCTCGGGCCCCGGCGACCGTCCAGATGTGCAGAGGGCTCACTCGGGGCAGGACCCTTCCCGCACGCGAGAAATCCTACGATGTATAAGAGATGATGTTGGGCTCTAGCCTCACCTGCCACATCTCGCCCAACAGTGCCAAAGCCCGCTGCCACTGCTCGCCCTTTCCGCACGCGCCGATCCCAGCGCTATAGGAGACCATTGCGGACCGGTGGATCCAAAGTTCCACACGGGCTAGCAGCCGAGCTTGCTCACACCAGTGACAGCAGTTGGTCTGATAGACTCTGGGACTCTTGCAAGGATGGTACTGGTCTCTTACGCCAGCAGTGGCCTCTGCACAGGTTGGGTATCCGGGGCGCTCTCGGGGGCAGCTTTGAGTCCTGCTTGGGGCCTGCGTTGGGCCCTCTTGGGCTCTCTTGGGACACACGTGGGCCCTCTGGGCGCTTCCTGGGCTTCAATGAAATCCTGCGGGTGGAAATTGTGGGCGGAGTGTGGTTAGTTTGGCGAGTTTGGGGGACCATGTTGTGGCGGGCTTTGGACATCATGGAGCCGCCTCGGGGCCGTCCTGGAGGCCTGGCAAGGCAATCCTGAGCTACCTTGGGAGCGTCACGGGCCATCCTGGAACCGATTAAGAAGCTTATCCCGCGCTGACGGAAGCCTGCGGGGGGGCACCTCGACACGGTGTCTCGTGGGGGGAAATAGCGGATGCCAGAAGTAGTGAAACCCTGGGGGATCTCAATGTTGCTTCCCTTCGTGAAGGGTCTCCGCGGATCCCCTTGGCGCGTTGTGGGGCCGTCTTGGTGCCCCCCCTCGGGGCATCTTGGAGCTGCATCGCAGAGCGCTCGGACCGTCTCAAGGCGCCCTCAATGGTCACTTCGAGGTGTTCTGTTGCCGCCCTCGGGTGCCCCTGAGACCGTCTTTAGGCCAGCCGGTCCGATTTGTCGCAGTACTGTTCGCCAACTCGCACGCGCGGTGCCCAGCGCTGTAGAGGAAATGACGTTGGGCTCTGGATTCGCCACCCGCATCTCCCTGAGCAGCGCCAAAGCCCGCTGCCATTGGTCGCCCTTCTCGCACGCGCTGATCCCAGCACTGTAACT